TGTGTGAAAATCCCAATGTAACGACTCTTGGATTTTGATTGTTGCGATGACGATTCGTGGGTATAACGGCGCTGGGCAAAATGTCGCAGATAATGATGGATTTCTCATCAAGGGTAGCATGACTGGAATCGGACGCGCGATGCCAAGTCGACGAAAATCAATGAATCACATCGTGTTTCGCGAAGCTTCACGAGTTTATATTTATTCTGACAAATTGCAGGCATGCACGAATATCGAGTCTGCGGCTGGCCCTACGCACGCCGATCATGGGGGTGGAGAAATTTGCTCGCGTCCAGCAGCGGAGATGGTGGCGGTAAAGACGCACACGCGTATATCTACACGCGTCGTTTTGTCATTTTTCAAGATCACTATCGAGGGCCTGTTAAGCGCGTGTCAGATATATAAATTCGAACGAATTTCTGGTACACACGAGGAATCGTATGCGTATAGCTTTGCTTGGTCTGCGCGTCAATTAGCGCGGGACGAATATCGATCTTCCTGCACCAAAGTAACGATTTTTTTTCTCGTGAGCTATATATATATATATACATAGTAGAAGTTTGAAGCAGAAATATACGCGTATATTCTTTGCGCTCGTTTGTAATAATAATGTATTGGCCAAATGGTGGCTCGCAGGATGACTAATAAGGAATCGCGCGCACGAGAGAGACGCGACAGTGCACGCACGTTATATGCTATACGATAAATATCCTATATGTATACAGGAGGTGGAGGAGGAGGCAGCAGCGGAACGAATAATATATATTATGTATTAGCCGAGCTGCGCTGTTGCCGCGAAGCGAAACACGGCAAATTCATTTAGCTTTGGCCTCTCCCAAGGCCTTTGTTTTTTGGGTATAGAACGCGCAGCTCTCGAGCTGCTCTCGTCGAGAGTCTGCCTCACGGCTCTATTCCCCTCACCTGCGCGCGAGCCACCTTACAACTATATCAAGATCTCTTAATAAGCATTAAAGTATCCTAAGTTATGGGTATAAAAGTCTTTTAATTGACTATTTCTTTTAGAGTTTTTTTTGTACCCTCCACAACGCAGCAGCAGCAGCAGCAGCATCAACGGCTGAGTGGATTTTTCGGTTGCTTTTGGCATAGATAAGTCTTGATCGCGTCTTTTTAAATGTGTTTGTGTAGAGCACGTCAACGTCTATTAGCCAAAAATATAATATATAAGCACGCGCTCGAATACACGCACAGACACACTCACACATACGCGCACGATCGGAGAAATGATATTTTTTGTGTTTGCGAGCGCAGCACAGCAACAGCAGGGGGACGCGTTTTTATCTTACATGACAGTTGAATTTGGTGAGAGAGAGAGAGAGAGAGAGAGAGAAGAAGAAGAAGAAGAAGAGAAGTCAACATCGTTTGTACAAAAGATTTATGAATTTCTAAATGGCTTTAAAAATGAGCTTTAATCAGAGTCGAGAGTTTATTTTTTTTCTGCCTAATAAGCACTTGATTCGGTCCATAAACTGTTGCTTATACAAATATTGATCGCAATTAAAAGAACCGAACTGCCTCGTTGGTCTCAAAAGGCCATAGCTCTATTTTTCAGGATATACCTGTTGGCGGTGGTTTTCTGAATGCGCCAATGCCGAATGTGCACGAGGCGTTGAATTTCAGAGAAATCAATTATCGTTTGTCTATAAATAAAGACATTATTATAAAGAGGCTATTAGCGAGGCGAGAGTCGTCGAAGCAAATGCAGTTGTCGCGTGTCAATATTACAAAGCTTACATATACACGAGTGTTCGAGGTAAAGACACGAGTTTCGATCGAGTCATTGACGCTCTCGCTCGAGTTATTTGCTGCTTAGCTCGTACTTATACTGCTAGTGGTAGGATACGCGCAGCAGTCGAGTCGCGCGTAGAAAGACGAATCTTGAGTCTCTCGTGTATATAATTGATGGCTTCCGGATCGACCTATAGGAGAGCGGGTAAATAGCATATATGCGTATAGGGCCCCTGCAATTACCTGTCTCCTTTGCGAAGGCTTGAACAAATACCGTGATTGACATAAATAGACGCGGAGAACTGAGATAGAAAGAGAAGAATAAAGGGTCCGGATATACGAGGCGCAAACTTATACGAGATAATCCTCTTGCGCCGATGCGGTGCCGATGCTCGAGAGATCTCAAGTGGGCAATGTCATCGCGAGGCGAATGTATAATGGCATAAGTTTGTTCGGCAGTTAAAAATCTCGGGCGGGTCCGATCGCTATCTCATTCCTTTTTCTCTATACAGAGCGCTGCTACGCACTTACGAGCTTTGCTCTTTAAACTTTAAACTTGATAAATTTTCGCGCGCGAGCAAGTATATACGGAAGACCGAACATCGGAGAGAGAATGCACGTAATGAGGCGCGTGCGTGTGGCGCGAGCATATAATATGCGCGCAGGTACAACAGAGGAAGAGAATCGGGAGACAATGAGCGAGCGATGCGCATACATATGGAGCAGCAATAAGGAGGCATTTATAGACTGCGCCGTCGACTTTGCGGTTGCGTTGTGTGTATTCCGCGATCCTTTTCCTGGAAGCCTATATAGGCATATATACTACACATCGGGGAGCATATATATATACGGTCTCGGGCTCGTCGGGCCCAATCCTGAAGCGCGCGCGCGGCTACATAGACTGCGACTCGCCGGTGGTCCACTGGGTTACGAGAGAGAGAGAGAGAGAGAGAGAGAAGCGGACTCCCAAGGAGAGGCGCGCGAGCCACACATACAAACGCGCACACACACATACCTTTAGGGATATGTACGTATACGTGCACGAGTTCAAAAGCATGCACTGATCACTCGGACGCGCGCCCAGGCGCTTTACTTCGGCCGCACGAGAGGGAAGAAGATATTTCGTACGAGAGAGACGGAGAGAGAGTCTCGTGGGAAGGATATGCGTCGTATACTTAGCTGCGCTCAGCCCCTGCCCGACTACCTACCAACCTACCTGCCTATATATATAGGTTCTTTGATTTAGCGGCTGCTGCTGCTGCTGCTCGAGCTTTTTACATTCCACTGCCCCCGGGTCGTTGGTTTTTGGCGGCGAACCGCATACACACACAGAGTCAGGCCACACGGCAGCCCTGCCCACCTTGTTTCTCTCTTTCTCATTTTTTTCGGCTCCTTGTGTGCGTGTATACCTGCTGCTGATGCTGCTGATGCTGCTGCAACCGCCGCCGCCGCCGACGACGACGACCAAGACGACCAAGACGACTTTCGCATTGTTTTTCTCTCTTTCTCGAGCTCGCTCGAGACAACTGCGCTTCTCTTTTCTTCCGATACTGATGATGATGATGCTGATGATGATGATGATGACCATGATGACGACGACGACCACGACAATGATGCTGTTGACTTTTTTCCAGCTCCCCTCTGCTCGTTGCCTCGTTTTCTTTTTTTTTGGCCTCTCTTCGAGTCCACTCGAGGGAGCTTTAATACAGCGCAGTTCTCTCTCGGCCTCTTTCTTTCTTTCTCCGCGCAGCCCGTGTCGTGCATTATATTTCGAAGCGTGCATAAAAGCCTCGTGTTATGACTGATAATCGATGACTAAATCGACGAAGCAACGATTCACCGGACTAATTTGAGATGGCATGCCGGGGCTGCTGCTGCTGCTGCTCTACCTGCGATCCCCATGCTGCCTATACTCACTCGCTTTCGTTGGTTTCGCTCTTTTCAGTTTATATAGCTGCACCTCTCTAGTACTCTTTTCTCACAAAACTATGAAATTGCTCTCTCCATCTTCTTATTCTTCTTCTTCTTCTTGGTCCCTTAGCCTCTCTTTCTCTCTTTTCTTGCGGATTCCTCTTTTCTGTATTATATATGTATGCTGATTTTGTATTTAGTGCTCAATTATATGCTCGAGCGAGCGCGCGCGTCTGCAAGCTGCCCTGCGTCGTTCCAGTCAAAGTTTTTATTAAAACCAAAATTTTTAGCCCAAACGCGTGCCTGACCCGAAATGCCTGCGCGAGTAGATGCAGCCTACATATATGTGCATGCTCGCGCGGGCAGCAGAGGAATTCGTGAAGCCGACGATTCTTCATAGAAACGTACTTAAAAATCGGCTATCCTCGGAATTACAGTCCCACGTAATCATATACGATATCCGCGCTAATTGAACGAATTACGTGCAGCGATCGCTCGCCCGATCCTTATATATTATACTACATTATGTTTTCCGAAATTCAATAAAGACATCGAGCTTTAAAAGTCAATCGCCATGCCTCGATCGCATGTGCAGGTATACTTTTTGTACGTCGCTAAACGTTAATAAGCTGTTCGCTGGCAGAAGAAAATGAAAAGGAAATCTAGTATGGATTTTTTTAAAGATTTTTCACGCGCAATGACGAAAAACTATTTGCGACTTTGTGCGCGGTACGATCGCGTGTGCACGAATAACGTGCGCGCGCGCGAGCGCATCGAGTCTGGCGCCACTGAATGATAAAGCGTCTTAGCGCTGAATAATTGCCACGTTACAGCGCTTCAAAGTTGAAATTATCCAATCAAAATTCGATATAATATCTGATTAACAAGTGGCGCCGGTTTTTCGTCGTTGACAACGCGCATGATCTATGAGTCGGTTGCTATATGAAGTATGAAAATGTCGATACTCGAGTGGCATAAAATAAAGTACCTCGAAAAGGTCGAATATTCTCTTTTGGAAAGCCAAAAAGTACGAGTTAACGGATATCTTGGGTATTTTTCCATCGTGTCACGAGATGATTTCGCAGTTGGATGATCAATCGGATGAAAAAACTCCAAGTGCCTCGATACGGATTCTATTGGGAGGTGATCATTTTTAGCTGTACCGCACTCGCACACAAATAAATATGTATAATATATCGATTACTGGTCATTTTCCCGAATGACTTATCTACCGAAAAGCCATTTTCCCGAATACCTTTTTTCCCGAGTACCTTTTTTTCCCGAATAATTCAATTTGGAGGCATTTTTTTTTTAAAAGTTTTATTGAGGCAGGGATAGTGGTTTTATGATAGTTTTATGTTGCTGCTTATATCTGAGAGGTATTGTACGATGTTCTTCTCCCGCTTGTATCTCGGGTAATCATTTGTGACGCTTCGCAAGCGTTGTTGATGCTGCACCCACTTTGTCTTGGGTGCATTTTTCACCGCTTTCGCGATGCTTAATTCAACCACCATGCTCTCAGTGTCAGCTTGTTCATCGCGGATTCCTAGAAGCAGCGAATACAAGTCCGGATGGTTCTTGCCAATCATCAGACAAAATCTATTGTGCCATCCCTCGCTGATGTTATTAGTTCTGTGTGTTCCCTTTTGGGTCGCCACGAACTGATTCCACAATTTGATGGGATAGCGTGGAGGTGAAGCACGTGGTTTTCCAGACACCTACAAAATGGAAAATAATTAGCACAGTAACGACATCATAGTAATACTACACAAAGCGAAGTTTGTGATATTTACATAGGTTTCATCGAAGTATCGGTACAGTGCCTGTAATGAGTTCGGATCCGACTTTTTCAATGACCGCATAGCACTCGGTACATCAGTCATAGGAACGCATCAGCACGAATTTCTTGAAGCTTCGATCTTCTTCGTCCTAGTAAGCCTCTGAAAATCCAAGCTCTTTGACTTTCCGGTACAGAGATTGTCCCAAGTGGAAGAAGCAGCACGCGATCCTTGCATCCGGAAATATTTCTTCACATGAATTGATGATAGCCATCTCGAAATCCGTCATGATGATTTCCGGTCCGCATTGGATGTTGAAATTTGTTGCACTCTCCAAGATTGCGCTCAGGACGGCTGTGTACTGGCTTTCTTCCTTTGACGACAATAGGGCATACACGAGTGGAAACGCTACCTCCTTGCGCGTAATTTCATCGTCAGCTTAGGCGGAGAGAGCTAGGAGAGAGAGCTCGAGTAGACGCTTGATAGTGCACAGCAACGGCTAGTAGTAAGCATTATGCACTAGGCTGCTGGTACTCCCGCTGCGCGCGTGGGTACAGCCATGTTTGCAAGCTTCTCGTAGCATGTCGCGTCCGGCTTGCTTGCATTTATTTTCCTATCCCTTACGCCACGCGAAAAATTCTCTTCTTCCTTCTCTCTCGCTCATCTACTTGTCCGTTTTTCCTCTCAACGCCGCCCGTCGCTGCTATATAGGCAAGAATTATAATCGACAAAGTCATTGAATATTGTTACCTAGTTCTTGATAATAAGCGGTGCAGGCAAGAGCTTTTATCAGCTATGCCGAAGATGTCATTGGATTTTCTCGCATGCAGCAGAGGTTGGTGTATTTTAATTTCTTTGAGAGCAGCTTGTGCATTACTGGGTATATATACAGTCGTTGTACGCGCGCGATGTACGAATCGACTGTGTTCTGCTATACTTCGCGACGCGACGTCTGACTTATCGGTTTACAGCTCCGTGCGGATATTCGTCCTAATACAATATCAGTTCGTGCGACTCGGAATTTTTCGTTTACCTATGTATACACCCGGCGTTCGCAAGACCTTTCGCTGAATGTTCGCGTTCTTGCCACTAGGTGGCGGCGTGGCGCTTTGGCGGCACCCGCAAGCGAGTGAGTTGAGTTGGGTGGATATAAGCGATATAAGATGGGGCTGGAGCAATTTCATCAATCTCTAAATTAAATTCAAAAGATTCATATCGATTAATTTCCTGTATTGATGAATGACATCTGTTTCTAATTGCTTCAACGAATGCTTGGTTATCCTCTAAAGCATCTTCCGATAATACTCACAACAAGAATGGATATTCATATTCGAGACTTTATCAAAAATGCTCCATTTCTCATAGAATCCATCTTGATCCCTTACATTATCTTGGACGGAAAAGGTTTCATCTGCTTTTGATACTTTTAAAAATCGAGTGTTCTCCAGATTTTCTATGTCATCTAGTGTTAACACATTTAACGATGACTCGTTATTTATGAAATTAATTTGGTCAAGGTGATCCATTCGCACCGGCCGAAGCTTCCGATAATCTATGCAGAATCTATATTCGCCGTTGGCTTTCTTTACCATTACTATCGGGCTTGACCAGCTGCTCGTTGATGGCGTAACAATCCCTTGTTTGAGCATATTCTCGAGTTGCTCATACATTATTTCTTCCATCCTCTGCGATACCGGGTAACATCGCTGTTTGATAGGCTTCTGGCACGTAACTTCTATCTCGCGAAGTCGCGGCAATTCGAGAAAAACCGCAAAGCAATGACCCATGGTACGACAGAATGTACACAGTAGTGCAGCAACAAGCAAATGCCTACCCAGACTGGAAAATAATCGGCAAGAAATTATACCGATACAAGCCCAGCAGAGACGATGACTAGCAAATGGGCGAAGGAGAAGCGTGGAAACTCGTATTACTCAAAGAAAAGCGAGCAGAAGCTTTATACGAGGGACACGATGAACTCACATCGGGGCACTTGGGCAGCAGGAAAAAATACCTGCGAATAGTAGCATTATACTTCTGGCCGAATATGCAAAAGGACATCAATGAATATGTGAAAAACTGTCTCATCTGTCAACAGTGCAAAGTAGAACAGCTCGCACCAGGCGGCTGGGCCGCAGGCAGATAACGCAGCCGTGGGAAATAATAGCGGCCGACATAACAGGCCCTTTTCCCCCCAGCTCGGCAGGAAATAAATACCTTCTGATTTTTATGGATATGTTCACAAGATACGTCGAGAGCATACCTATACAGAAGGCAAACGGAGCCACCATTTCACAAAGGCTATACAGCCGAATTTTCATGAGGTTCGGCGTGCCTGACGTGCTATTGACGGACAACGGAACCGAATTTCGTAACGACCTGATGACCGAATTCTTGGAGAATAGCTGAGTCAAACAATTCCTGATTTGTCCATACAACCTAGCATTAATTTTTACACACGCACAATACAACGCGCACTTGTAATTTTTACACATGGCACAATCCAACACGTACTTACAAAGTAACACGCACAATACAACACGAACTTGTAAATAAACGCGGACTCGTAAACTGAATGTTCGCGTCGCGACTAATTTGACAGATCACGCAGAGTCGCCAAGGTAACCAATCAATATATATGAGCGATGTATATGATAAGCGCTCGATACATGGGATACGCGTTCGGAAAAATTGTGGAAAAAAGTCATTCGGGAAAAAAGTTATTCGGGAAAAGCGCTTCGGGAAAATGTCCGTATACCAATATATCAAGCGAAAATTGGCCCTTTGGTCAGAATTGCGCGCATGAATCATGATCTATCTGGTATTCCGCGCGCGCGCGCGCGCATACTCGCTTAAGCGCAGCTGCCGAGCACTGCTGCACTGCTGCACACAGCGACTCATGAATAAATTCAATTTCGTTGTACGAGCGCGTAAAGTTGTCAGTGCCTCGCGTGCGTTAGCATAGTTGCGCGCGGGCCACAGACGCACGCGCATATATCGACGTTTGATTTGTCTCGCGAGCTTAAGTGCATAAGTGTGCGTGCGTTTGCGCGTATGTATGTGCGTATGCGCCGCCATCGTCGTCGTGCCTCGGTCGCTGCGTCGCGCAGCTATATGGTCGATGATCGTATATATGCATTTTCTCGCGTGTGCATTATTCGCTGCGGAGCGCCTCGGTATATATACGTACGAGAGCGCTTCTTCGCGCAATTGTCCTTCTCTCTCTCTCTCTCTCTCTCTCTCTCTCTCTCTCTCTCTCTCTTTGCGTGCTGTACGCGAGTCTCGAGACGAAGACGACGACGACTACGACGACGAGAAGAAGAAGAAGTGTCCTCTCGAGTGCCAATGCACTTTAGCTTTGTATAAGCGAAGTAAACGCAACGACAAAAGAGACGCAAAAAAAAAAGTAGGGAGAAGGAAGAAGGAAAAATGCTCGACTATATCTCGCGCGAGCGAGAGAGAGATTTAGTAGTGCGCAGCTAGTATCTCTCTCTCTCTCTCTCTCTCTCTCTCTCTGTGCTTGGCGCAGTAGTGCGTGTGCCGCTGCAGCTGCGTATAAATGCAGTTCAAGTATATGCGTGTACGGGACGAATACATTATATAAGACTCTTGATGTGTAAACAGGAAGAACGTATTACGTGTTAATAATGAAAAAAAAGTCCCACGAGGACTCGAGACGTATCGAGTCCATGCGATTATAATTGTAATTAACAGGGCGCGAGGGCGACCTATACCATTGACTGTCCCAAACTTCGCCAGTATAATACGCGCGATTGACGGAATCGATGTACACGAGGACAAAATGTACATTGATCCGATTTTACATGTGGCAGAATATTTTACGCGTGCATAAAATGCATCGACGTAATAATTATAAGCGCGAACGAGTCGCAGCTACCGGTATATACTTGCATCATATCGATGTACAGCCGCTGAGAGCTGCCTTAACGTATAAATTACATCGAGAGATGGGTATCCTCCTCGATCGATCGATGCATTTTTAATATCTCTCTCAGGCACGAGCGCCCGTGTACCCGCTCGCCCGATTAATTTGTCGCGCGATCCTTGGAGACCGTGCGTTAGCAGCAAAAATTTTTGCAGCGTCGCGTTTTCAACTTTTTTTAAGGGATAATTTATGTGTATTTGATTTTAGTACTTCTTTGATTTCTGCATGCGCGCGATGAGCGTAAACGTGATAAAATGAAAAAAATAAAACTTTTATAAATGTGACACGATTGATAATTTATACCTCGCAGAGTTAAGGTCAATTTATCGGTATATCTGATGGTTTTCGTCTGAAAAAATTGAAGATGCGAATCCAACAATAATGGACAGCTCGATTTGTACACCTAAGATTTTTTTCAATGTAGGGTAGTCATAGTTGAAGTTCTCTGTAACGTACTCGTGTTGCATATACAAGTGCACCTATATGAATACCATATACATACGAGTGGCTTTTGATTTAAAGAGGTTCAATTCTTACGAAAAAATTTGTGTAGTGAAAATAAAAATTACGATTATGATGAATTGCAACATCTAATGAAAAAAATGAACCCTTTTCATTGAAAAATAATGATAACACCATAACAAATATTCCTCTGTTCATAATAATTTTAAAATCAAATTTATACGTATAGCAAAATAATTCTTTAGTACTTGATTATGTAATAAAAAACATAATAATAAATGTGGTGCGTATAACACATTTTATTACTAATACGAGAAGCTAAGTAATGTACTATTATAAAATTTGACTTGTCGTACGAGTTCGTTACTTTCACTGTCTATTACAAGATTTTGAGATTAGCACAGGAGTAAAAGTAAACAAAGCGACTTGAAGAATCATATTCGCACAGCATTTCGTGCTCGTCAATATCTTAAGCCATACATTTTATAGTTAGCTCATCGTCTACAGATGTCGCATCGTCAACCCGCAAGTAATAAAATACATCTGCAGTGAATATACAAGAAAAATAAAACTACGTAGTCTTCACATGTTTTCGTCGTTGAATTTGGGAGAAAATTAGTTGGTCTTCTGTTTTTTACTATCTCGATGCATAAGTAAATATCTCCCTAGGAAATGTAACTTAAATGTTTACTCTTTATAGTTCACGTGCATGGATAAACAAACGAAAATAAGAATATAATTATGTATGAGATCGAAATAACCTATAGAATCTTCACAAAAAAATTTTCATGATTATCGCAGCTTCTATCTTTTCGTTACTATAACCGTGCGAAATTTCATAATAAGTTACGAAAAGTATTGCTCTTAATTCATGTGATTATATTCGTATGGTGCGTCTTTGTATACATTAAATGAATACGGTCAGTAAATAAATTTTTTGGTTCTGCCTGAAAATGTATTAAGCATTGGGCATGCTCGTGCATGTACCCAGAGTGTGAGTAGGATTATAGCTCAACGAATGACTTTGGAGCGACAAGCGCTTTTGACATGTACACAAGTAGTGCTGTGCGTTTCGGAGGGAAGATTCACCCCAGGAAACGAGTGCATGACTGTCAATGAATAACATCCTTTGGCTTGGAAATTTTTCATAATGAAGCTGTAGGAATTTTTTTTTATAATTTAATAATTTTTTAACAATATATTCAAATCTCTTCTTAAAATTAGAAATGTTACTTCTTCGTAAAATGAAAATTGTTGGAGTCAGATTTTTTCTTATACTCTGCGTGAAGCATTTTTTCCTCACTCGCGTTTTCTGGTATTTTACGTTTTTCTATAAATGCGTTCACTGTGTCGCAATTTTTAGAGCTTATAGTTTGAGCTGCGATGTCACAAGTACTGACTTTTTCAGAAAAAGCAAGAAATTCAAAGTAAAAAATCTGACTGAAATAGTTTTTTTCAGAGGACAATACATTTTTTTTGAATTTACTTTTTAGCTTTATATCGATCAACTGAAGTTAGTTTTTGACTCATTTGAAACTCGCGAGCAAGTCAGCGGGATAAAATAGTCGGTGTCGCAGATAGCGACAATTTACCCCCCTCGGATCTTTACGAAACGTGTTGTGTGATTGCATTATTATATGTATGTATGAATAAGTTGAACACGTAATGCGTTGGCATAAAAGCCAAGCGCGGATATCACAATCAAGTGCGATCTTCGTCATCGTTCCGATCGGCTCGGCTCCCCGACTCTGCTCCCTCGTTTCACCGGATTCGCTCCCCTGCTCCGAAAATTGTCGTACGCTTGTATACACGCGCCCGAACATGTATACATAATTCGCTCGTGCCACAGAAAGGATCTTATTGGACTGCGTATACTCCGTCGAATATAGTCATAGCAAATGTCATTTTTAAAAAGAAAGAGTGGGAGAGAGAGAGAGACAGAGAAGATTTTTGCCCCTTTACGGAAGTGTGTATAGCTTCTTCTCTGTCTCGCGCAGAACTCGTGCATCAGCCTCGAATCGAACGAGACAGAGAAAGAGCAAGAGAGAGAAAGAAAGAGAGATCGGGTACATTAAACATTTTCCTCCCTCTCTTTTTCTCGATCTCTCGCGCTCTCGGGATCGCGCAACAAGCAGCGGCGGCAACTCTCCGCACGCGCTCCAAACGGTAGATAGCTCGGCTTCGTCGAGTGTGTGCCTGTGTCTGTCTGTGTATAAGTGTGCGCCAAGAGCGAGAGCGAGAGAGAGAGAGAGAAAGAGAAAAACACTAGGAGAAGGCGCAGTGGCTGGTTGCCGATGCCAGTGCAGGCGCAGCTGACGCGCGAGACACTTCCATATACATCTATATGGAGCAGCAGCAGCAGCAGCAGTAGCAGCGGAGCACGCGCAGCTTTGATCCGCCACACGCACTCCACTCGCGCGCTCACACACAAACACACATACACTCACTCACACTCACACTCACTCACTCTCACAGCGAGGCGGGCGCTCATACGCAACGACGACGACGACGACGACGATCGAGCTTGTATATTATAGTCTCTCTTAACTCGTCCGAGTTGCAGTCTTACTCGTGTAGCGAGAGCGAGAGCGCGCGCGCGCCACGACTCGCGGAACCGGAGTCACTCAGTCGTTGTGCTATATATACAACTACTACTATATATCGCACATATATCGAGAGAGAGAGAAATACATAACGCTGCACGCAAAACTGCTTGTATAGTGTATGTACACACATTCGTATATGCGCACCCCGCGCGAGTGCAATGATCAGGCCGCTCTGCGCCGCGTCAACGCCGCCGCCGCTGCATTTACTAGTCGACACCACTTGATGCGATTTAGGCAAGAGACAGCCTGACGAATTCATTCATCGTTCCAGGCTGATTTAGTTGCCGATCGATGCCATGATCGATCGCTTCGCTGCGCCGGACAGTCATTTCTTATTATCATTATCCAATTTGACTAAGAATCGTGCGCTGCAGTGGTAGTAACTGCGATCGAGGTTTTTAGTGCATCCGCGTGTGTAAAGCCAGTTATTTTGTTTGATTCAAGAGAGTAGAAAAATTTCGTTAATAGTGAGTATCATCGGTTGAATTCCAGCAAGTGCAGCTATAAGGAGTGATACACAACTGCGGGCGACGGAGGCAAATCCGACGGCCGACTCGACAGGGTGAGTGAGAGACGGAGAAACAATTTTTTCCTCTTCGTCTTCTTCTTCTTCTTCGCTGTTCTTGTTGTTGTTGCTGCTGCTGCTGCTTGTAACGCGAGATTATTATTGTCGGCAAAAAAAAGACATCGGGGTCGATTGCGGCACGCGCGTGCCACGGCTTATACGCTAAAACCGCGTTTATCTCTTTAAAAAGCGCGTACATATTAACGCATTACACGTAAAATGTACAGCGAGAGGAAGGAACTTTCCGACGATCGGCGGAATAATAACAAATGTTTGTTGAAGCGACGTCTAAGCGCTCACTCCTCTTAGCGCTCGATCTTTGATACCGATTATTGGACGCGCCGTTGCCGTTACGCGCGTGTGTGTGTGTGTGTGTGTGTGTTAGTGTGCGATACGTAAGTGTGTGTCACTGCACCTCGAGAGACCGACGCCACCGCGTATTGTTGTCGATGTTACAAATACACAATATATAATATTGCATACGCTTATATACTTGAAAACCGATACGCGATACGTTCGTCTCCGATCGAGACGTGTATTGTACACGCACACCACCAGCTCAGACACACATGCTTCTGTTTTCGCATGATAAGACGTGACGATATTTTGCAGCGAACGTCGAGCACGGCCATTAACGATCTCTAGGAATCGAACGATTCATTGTTTTCTCACTCTTTCTCTTTCTTTCTTGAAGTGATCGCTTCGAGCCAACGAACGAGCGAGCGAACGAAAAAAAGATCGACGATAGCCCTCCGTGCGTATGGGCAAATAATACACGCATAAGCGTATAACGAGAGAGATGTGCTGCAGAGTCGTTTCACGAGGCTTGATTGATATTGCGTGTAAAGAGAACTGCCCAACTTCGAAACAATTTACAGCTGATATTGTCCGCGATTTCGATCTTCGATCTGTTGGCGCGCGCTCGCTCACCGACTCTCGGAAAGATTAGATTATTATAATAAAAGTCAGCGACGCGATACAGTCATCGTGCAGAGGGACACGATACTAATAGACGGGGATTTGTTTCACATAGATCGCTTATAGGCACGAGCCAACTATTTCAAGTAATATATCCATGATTTTTTTTCGAAAAAAAAAAAAAAAAAACTAGCGACAGAGCCGAATACGATGACTGATTGGTTCCACAAAATCCGAACATTTTCAAAGTATTATACGTAAAATAATACGAGCTCTATATGAGTTGTGTATTTTTAAGGTTGTATCGCAAAAGTTTAACCATGTTCACGCGTGAGCTAATTTTTCCGTCAAACATACGCATACGCAAATCGTTTTTTCCCACTCGAGCTATCCCGAAATATGCAGAATACACGGTAATCGATTTGAACGCGACTGCCCAAGCGTTTATTTAATACGATTCATCCAGTATGAATCAAAAGAGGTGCTAACAAATAAAAATTTTAACATTTGTAATAATAAAGAAGAGAACAATCGTCCGCGAGTTGAATTGTGCGCACTTGCATATTTCACGGGCTCGCGAGCGACTAAAAATCATCCTGTCGAACTTTATAATGAAACGAGAAAATTCAAATCGTCGCCCCAGCGCAGGAAGGTATCTATTTCCAAGCTGCAGCAAGAAGGATACTTACTCGCGCGCAGAGGCAAAAAGGTATCTAACTCGAGCGCAGCGGCAAAAAGGTATCTAATTCGAGCGAGAAGCAAAAAAGTAGCTTATTCAAACGAAGTGGCAAGAAAGTTTTGACGGGCCGAATTTAGGTTGGCAACGGAGCCGTAAATGATAAAATTTTGTTTTGTATTAGAGCAAAAAAGAGGAAAAACATTTGAGCTAGTGTAATGAGTTTCATCTATTTGAAATGCGAGCAAACAAATCAATCTCGCCGCGATTTCGACTCAATATGCCTCTTATGGAGAACTTTCTATGTTCTGAGAGTAGTAGAAGTTATCGGCTTTACATATAGCTTTGAATTAAACGTTGAATGTTGAATGTTGAAACAAAATTTTATCATTTACGGCTCCGTTGCCAACCTAAATTCGGCGCGTCAAAACTTTCTTGCCACTTCGTTTGAATAAGCTACTTTTTTGCTTCTCGCTCGAATTAGATACCTTTTTGCCGCTGCGCTCGAGTTAGATACCTTTTTGCCTCTGCGCGCGAGTAAGTATCCTTCTTGCTGCAGCTTGGAAATAGATACCTTCCTGCGCTGGGGCGACGAAATGAAAAATACAAGACGTATACGCGAAGAGTATAACGATGCTCCTAGACTAGGATGTAGATGTAGTCACATTTTACTCAGAGGCTAGGCGAGAGTAAACCAGTCATTCGCTTGCTACCGACATCTTTATTTTTTTTTCTTTTGGGTTTAAGATATTTAGAGTAAAATGACACTGAAAAGAGAAAATCGACTGCTCGACCGATGTACTTGTGTTCGTAATTTGTAAATACACCGAGACAATTGCAGGATTTTGTCTTCTTTTGTCATCTCGTGCCTTTGCGGCTAACAAAAGATACGGTTTAACGCTCGATGTTCGTAGCAAAAGTGAAAGAAAAAAAAGCTTACGATTATACTCACGGCTCCGCTGTTCATTCTCCTATTTGCCTATATAAACACGTTAATTTTTTCATTGCCTTTTTGTAAGCTCATGCGTGCGAGGAAAACAATACTTTATTACGATATATGAATTCTTCGATTCGCAAGCGGCGTATTGAAGGTATCGTAAAAAGTATACTTGCAATGGAGAAAAGAAAAAAAAAGCGAAAAAGTAAATAACACTGAGGGAGAGAAAAGAAGAGTCACGCGACGATGCTGTGTCGTGCTGCAACATCGGCAGCAGTAGCAGTTGCAGCAAATGGAATAATCTGTTGACGATTGTGTGTAAATATACACACATTAAAAGGAGGATAAAAAGCTCATCGCGTAACGCGCGCGCGTGAGCACGGCCTGTTATGGCTCTGTACATGTAAATTAATAGGCTCATTCCTGTCGATACCTTTTCATATACCAGACTCGCGTGTACACTACAGCGTAGCGAAGCTTCTTTCGAATCCACCTTTGCCATGATTTATCGAAGTGCCTCTCGAAAATAATGTCTGTGTATACAAATGGCTTTGTCAATGATGTTAATAGAATGGCGATGTGAAGATAGAAAAAGAGCAGGAATCGGGCTGCGTTGCCTATAACTATTACAGGATTATAAATGTACTTAAAATTGCGAATTTACTTAACGTTTGATGACAAAGACGATGATGAACAAATCGATCGATCAATGCGAGAATCGCTTCCCTTAACTACGATGTGATTTTATAGAAATTAACTTTCTAAACACTTGTCTATAGAGTCAACTTGAATATTTTGATGTACCTATACTAGCTTGGCTGCACAAGTCGCGAGTCAACCGATCGTTGGGTGTCGCGTGCGAAACAACTCATCTCTTGGCTGTTTTATTTTTTTATCAGATGACGAATTATTTAAACACTCGATCGAGGTTTTGTCTCATTCTCAATCCTCATCTCAAACTGAAAATAACGGAATTTAGGAACTCGGAATAATGCGTATGTTAAAAAAGTTCGAGTACGTAAGTGTTATTATGTCATACACGAGTAAATGTACGAGCAAAAATTACAATTTGTCTCAGGCGTGATTTTAGATAAAAATCGTATTAATATATGGCATAGGCGGGCGTATTTGCCGGAATATCGGAACTGGCCATATTATAAGAAGTGCGTTACGCGCGCGAGCTGCCAAGTGGATATAAATTCCTTATTTCTCCCTGTGCTGTACACATATATTTTTGTTTCGGTTCTCTATATCATTCGTAAACATCGTCTTTGGGCCGTTTAAAAAAAGTTTACTCGTCTAACAATATGGTAATGATTCATACGATTTTAAATGCCTTCTCTCTCCGTCTCTCATTCTAGCTTTTTCTCATTTTTTATTTATTATTTTTTTCGACGAATCGAATTCTGCGCGCGCGGCAAAGACAAAATATATGGAATCGCGCTCTATACACACGACTCGGTGGCAATCGGACACACGGCTCCGGTGGACAATTTATCTCGAGCCCGCAGTTATAAAATTTGTCAAAAAAAATGTACACCCAATTTGTTAAATGAAACGACGATTTTACGGACGAGCCATCGGGGCTTGATACTTCACGCAAAATTTGTATATGAAATACCGATTGTCATCCGTGCAGCTCTTGAACAATTTTGTATTTTTTTTTCAAATATAAAAATATACATAGAGAATCGTAAACTCAGCGAGGGATATACTGCGACAAGTTCCCGTTGTGCTTTTCTTGCGTCCGAAGAATTTTTTTGGCCGAGCTAACGTCCCTTTTAATCCATACGCTTTATAAAAATACTCCGTTGCACAGCGTGTATTATCAATTTCAAATTGCAAATATTTTACGCGCGTTCGCGAATGGGATCCATTCAGAGAACCGAGCAGCGCGGCGTGCATTTTTCGTGTAAATTATTACATGTAGGCCAATCGCAAATTAAAGAAAGTGGGCTAGAGAGGAAGAAAAAAATTTGGGATATTGCGTATCACTTGTATGTGCTGTGTGTGTAAATAAAACACATGTAACTCCCGGTCGTGTGACACAGTGCGCGGCGATAGCAGAAGAAGAAAAAAAAATCTTGGTCGATTAATTATACACACATCGCGATGCAATGCTCAAGAGAGACAGATGCGAGAGAGAGAAGAGTATAGTACTCTGGTTTCCTTTTTTTGGTATTTGACTCACTCGAGTCGCTCTCTCGTGTAATATGCATATATAAACGTGCTCACACACACACACACACACACACACACACACACACACACACACATATCCACAATGCAGTTGTGTACATTTTCTCTGGCGCCATCGGGGTTTTTCGCGTGTTTGCGAAAAATCTTGTTTTTCGACCAAGGATTATTATTACTATACACCGATATATACGTCGCGATCGCTGCTGCAGTGTATGTTTTTGGTGCCATCTTTATATACGTAGGATATATACATCGAAGCACGCGACG